TGAGGCCAATTCTTCGGGACTCATTCGAATGAGGCTGCCAGGAGAAATTTCCCCCTTGAGAACTTTCTTGAATAGCACCTGACAGGAATAACAAAAATAAAAGAACTAAATAAATAAAAGGCCAACTTTTAACATTTAATAACACTGAAGGTTAACCTACATTGTTTTTAGTATCCTTAAGGTTGAACGTTAGACTTCTGTACTTATTTTTGTATTTGCTGTCAGTGTCTTTGTACAAATGAAACAACTCGCGTTCCGTTTTCTTGGCAATTTCATGAGCCTTCTCCACACTGACATTTAAGTTGGAGTCTTTCAACCTAAAACATTGGCAAAATCACAGTTGTTGATGGTATTTCATAACACAAGGTAGAAGGCTTGTAGTTGGGTAAATGTGGTACTGATATCATGTAACTTTTAAGTCTTACCTCTGTGTGAGAATTTCTTTTAAGGAATCTCGCACACTTCGCCTGATTTGTTCCACAGACACAGGCTTCTTGGAGGATGAGGAAGGCTTACTTTTCCCATCGTGTTTTGAATAAAAGGCTGTGTGGATGGAAAGTCAACATATACTCAGTCAAGTCCTGACTTATCAGATAAGTATAAAGCATTCAAAACCATACCAGGTTTGTGATCTGCGGACTGCCGTCGATCAGGCTCCTGTTAAAACAGACAGAAAAAGTCAGTTCTGTCATATTGATGTTAATGATAAAACAGGAAGAGGGTGGGGGCAGATGTGTGTGCAAAAACAAAGTGCCAGGTAGATAAAGGTTTGTTTTCTATTGATTTTGAAACCGTGCAGGTTTGGTGAAAACACACCATGTTAACCACCCCCGTGTGGAAATGTCTTACAACAGCCCAGGCAAAAACAAAAAGACAACAAACCCTGCAATGGAAACACTGGCTATTATAAAAATCAGAGGAGCAATTAGCTGTAGAAGATAAATGACAAAAAAATGTAATAATGAATTATAAATATAGCTGTGTGGACTTTGATACTTCAAAAAAAGACTTAAGTTCTTCTCACCTTTCTTACAGCAGGGACCGCCCCTGATGGCACACTCTGGGAGGGCCCAGCTCTTGGTTTGGTGGGGGAAGTCTTAGGATCCTGGACTTCATTTTTAACTTCAGCTTTGGGGGCACCTGGAGGCTCAGGCTCTGCTTTCTTGCTCTCCTCTTCACAGCATTTCAGACACACATACATCTGGTCTTCCTCCTCCATCTCTCGAACTTTTATCAAATCCAGACCTACACAGTCACCATGGAACCAGTCGTCACAGCGACCACACCCCACCATAAACCTTAGGAAAACAATTACGGAAGAAATTACTTAAAATGTTTTTCATTTCAGTATTATATTTTTCCTAGAATGATGCAAATGGTTAAAGAGTAGAAAAAATGGGTGCAGATGTTTCCCTATCAAGTTACTTTTCTTCACATCCAAAAAAACAAACAAAACTGTCTTTGTGACTGATGCCCTCATGATCATGAAGTCTTGTTCAGTTGTGTATAGTACATAAATTCCTTCCCATGATGCACACATGCTTCTTAACCTGCACAGTACAATATCAATATAAAATGTAAGTCGAGCACTTACATGTTGTTATGGGGCTTCTTGCACAGGCCACAAGAGTTGCACCCGTCCCACAGCGTCTCACTGTTAGCCGCAGGTAGCTCTTCAGCACTTTCTTTTTTCACAGGTGCATTATCTGGGATGAACAGCTCCGGCTCCTCAACTGAGATGGTCCTACTTCTTTGTTTATGAACCAGCTTCTCTGGCTTTTTTACTTTAAGCTTTTCAGATCCAGGCGCCTCAGGTGACTTTACAGATTGGCCTGGACGACTGGGAGTTGGGTGCACGCTCTCAATTTTGTTGTGTGGAGGGATGGGTTTGCTTGGTCCATGTTGCTCACGATGGCCAGAGAATGAGTTCTTTTTCACTAAAGCCGTCGGTGAGGTTGGCAGCTTTGGCTTGACTTTAACATCAGCCATTCCTTGAGTCTTTTGGACCTTATTATGATGACCACTTTGGGCATTTTCAATGGGCCTTTTTAAAGAGGCAATACCCTTTTTGTCTTTGACAGTCTTTGTGACATGTTTTTCATTTTTTGGTTGTGTGTTTTGCAATGGATTGGGTTTCTTAATGATGGTATGTTGCAGACCTGAAACCGCTTTTTTATTCTTAATGGATGTGAGGTCTGACTTTGGTTTGTGTAACGTAATAGGATGTGTGTCTGGACTTTTCTCAATGTCATTACTTGTTTTGTTATCATTAACTTTTTGCTGTGGTTTAGCAGTCTCTTTTTGCTTACTGTTATTTTTCTGCTTTTCAGCATGATTGTCTAGTTTTGTGTCTACTTCACACTGAGTGTCTTGTACTGTCCCATTGGCAGTTTGGACTTCATTAGGATTTACGTACGGGCCCAGTCCAAGAGCTGTATCCTCCACACAACTTTTTACTATGTCTATTGCTGCTATATTGTCTGGTAAATGGGACTGTATATCAAGTGTGGCATCCTGCAACATTGTAAATCCGATGTCCCCGCTGTACGCCATGCCATCCTCAAAGCTGTCATTAACAGTCTGAGTATATCCAGGTCCTGGAAGTAACTCGATCCTAAATCCGCCAATAGTTACGGTCAGCTTTCTCAAAACAACATTGGGTTGTAGCCATAATGCGCTTTCAAAATCATTTATGTTGATGCGTCCACCATCAATTAGTTCTTGCTTTAACTTGACACCGGTCACTCCCTTGTCAATCAAAAATGAATTATCCAACACGATGGGTTGCTTTCTAGGCCTACCTGGCCTTCTGCGTATAATAGGAGCATCTGTCTGGTCTGGTTGTGAGGCATTGTTGGCTGCACATTCTAAATGGAAAAAGAAAGAATGCTATAATACACAGAGTATGTTAAACTAGTAGTCCCACTAAAATAAACATGCAAAACATCTTACCACTTTCTAAATGACAGGGGCGTTTTCTGGGTCGACCAACAGGCCGTTTCACAGGTGGAGTTTCTGCAACTGTTATTCCACTGCTAAGCCCTGAAGACATGGTACCACCATCGAGACCTGTTGAACATTGAAAATCTAATTAAGACAGAGCCCGTTTATGATGAAACATTTCATCATCTAACGAAAGGTGAACAGCGTGTATGTAGCATACCAGCAATTTGAAAAGCAGGGTCTTCACTGTCTAACAGATTAAATTGTGAACTTGCACACCCAAACATAGGATCTTTATCACTAAGCATGTTTTTCAGTGAATCTTCAAGTGGAATTCCTGGACAAAATTCATTATTGGCTTCACATTCCAGATTTTGACCAACTATCAGCGAGTCATCCAACTGGTCACTGGGTATTAGGTGGTTAAAGGTGTCCACAATATCCATGAATGCTGCTACCTTCCTCCTGTATTAAGATAAAGCATGAAAAACATATCAAAAAGGCTGTATAGAGAGGTGCCAATGATATTACAAAAAACATGTGATAATTCTTTGTGAATATTGATGTTAAACATCATCCAATAAATGAAATATCAGATTTGTTTACAAACAGGTTCACACATATGCAGCATCACTACAACGTGGCTTTAGACGTTTTCCATCAACAAAACATGATATTACGCTTTTGTTGTCAATATGTGTGATCAAAATGGTATAATATAATGTTAAAGAGAGCCTGATGTTGCCAAAGAAGACTCGTTAGTCAAGCAGATTACTTGGGTATTGACGGTGGCTAAACAGACATGAAAGGCCGAAATAGTTGAAACGCGTAATGTTTGATTGACATTATATGGTGAAACGACTCGTCGGTAAGAAAAATGTCTAAATTATTGGTTTCACACACAAATGTGTGCAGCTTTACGGAATTTATGCGTGTTATGTTTGCTTTACGATTGCCATCAGTTAGCACGCTAGCTTCATAGCATGGGGCTAACATCATCCGCTAGAAAACAAGATTAAGCTCAACATGCTAACGCCAATGTATGAATGAAGTTAAAACCATTGACACGTATATCGCATGCTCTCTTCTGCATATGGGTAATGGTCAAACCTAGATCCAATCCAAAAATCCAATACATTCGCAGAAAGTGAAAGCATACATATTTCAATCCCCAAATGCTAACTTGTCAGCAAGCTAAATCGCGTTAGCATTTTGGTAGAGGCCCGAGGTAGCAAGTTTGTTAATAGCTACGATGCTTCGATGTACGTTTAATCTTTCTGATTCATTTCATAGTTTGCAGTATGCATGCATATATTTAAAGCTGATATAACATTTACAAAGCCACCTCACCTCTGTAACCCTCAAGCGGTGCATCCAACTCGTGTAAGATTACATACTAACACAGCTGCTGCAGATCCAAGTTAACTTCCTCAAACTCCGCCGTCATTCGCCCTACTGCTGCAAAGAGCGGCCGTCACGTGGTTTCTGTTTACACCGAGCAGCCGGTCGTCATACTTGCACCATTTGCTATAAAATTAGATCCCTTTTATGCAGCATTCAGAACGAAAAACAAAATTAACTTAATTCGGCTCCTCTTTTATTCTTTTGGTGGTTCTGTCACAGCGGCCCGACATATTTAGACTATGTCCCACTTTCTACTGATACCTCTCGAATTGTATGAAAAGTGAAATTTATAGAAAACATGTACTGGCATTCAGAGATTGCAGTTAAATTGTAATTATTATCTATGATCTTAAGTCCATCCCTACATCCCTACAACTCGTCCTTCTTTTTACAATTGAGATCTAGAACCAAATATCCTAATAATGATGCCTTGAATTTCTAGCACCTTCCAAGATGCTCAGAGCGTCTCATTATGAATTATGCATTCACTCCTCAGTCCACACTGGTGGTTGTTATAGCCACAGCTGCTCTGAGGCTGACTGTAAGAAATGTGGCTGTCAGTCTGCATCACCAATGACTCACTTGCAACCATATTCAAAAAGTGGTTAATAACTACAATTACAGTGTAATAACATGCATTTATTGAAAAAAATATATATGTAAAGAGCTGATAGGTAGATGATATGTATTCATAATCCTGAAATTGTTAAAATATTTGAACCATTGTTATAAAAGGACACAGTAAAATAATGATAGTTTTACAATTACAAAATGCCCCTAGAAAAAAATCATAGTTAAATTTTACAAAATGGAAATATGTAAAAATTAAGTTAAAGATTCTTGACATTTTTCTTGAGGATTTAGACCGTACCACAAAGTATCATTCTCTACAGCTGCCCAGGCCATTCTCTCAGTGGTGAATGTAGCAGCCCACTGCCCAGATGGAGAGACCACAATGGCACCGCCAGCTCCATTGACACGATCTCCCATGTACTTCAGGGCTAACTCTGAGGCCTTTGCCACAGTTTTACCTTTGGAGAAGCAATACAGGTAGCACCCATGTCTCACTATGATATCAATATAGTAAGCACCATTCTTACCTTGTTCCATGTGTGAAATAATAAGTCTGGCTAAAGTAACTTTGAGAATACTCTCTCCATGGCCAGTGCATGACACAGCACCACTGAAATTGTCTGCATACCCCCCACAACCTAAATTTTGGAACAAAAAACAAACAAAAATAAATTAAGGAAATGCTCATGCTGTATTATATTACAACATAACAACTATGTGTGTAGTTATTCTTTGTTACTACTAACCAATTACTGGGGAGTCTCCCACTCTGCCAACCATTTTATTTCTGATGCCTCCAGTAGATGTGGCACAGGCAACATTTCCAGCAGAGTCCACAGCCACTGCTCCAACAGTGTCATGGGCCCTAAGAAAATAACATAACCATAACCATAAAAAACAAACAAAACAAAACAAAACAAACAAAAAACAGGCACACATAATTGCTTATTTAACTGAGCAATATTTCAGGTCTATTACACGTACATACCACATTGCATTGAAGTCCTCCTTAACCCCAGTCACATAATTCTTGTGTTTCTCCCATTCCTTTCTTTCAAACTCTGAAACAAGTTCCTCCGGACAAACTGTGGCCATTCCAATACTCTCTGCAAACAGGTTTGCCCCTCTGCTTGTCAGCATCACATGGTCTGTCTGCAGAAAGCAAAAATAAAGCTGAAAGTTGTTGTTTTTTTTTCAAGTTTTATCAACCTTTTTTCAATCTCAAACCTTTTCCATTACAGCACGTGCAAGTAACACTGGATTGCCAATGTTCTTCACTGAAGAGACTGCACCACTTCCAAGTGTCTTCCCATCCATTATGCTGGCATCAAGCTCCACCTCTCCTTCACTATTAAGCACTGCTCCGTGCCCTGTAATTAAATTGTCAGAATAAGCCACTAAATTAACTTTTCTGGCAAGGCTGTAATTCAGTTTTCTATCTGACGCATCAGTGAACATGTACAGACACTTAAGGGGTTTTTGAGCAAACACCAGTTAAATTAGTGTCAATAATGAAGATTAAGAGGCCTCTGCATCGACCCTGCTCCTGATTCAAGCAATTACAAAGTTCAGTTCTACAGATCAAACACTAGAGGGAGACACTGCACTATAATATACTGAGGTCCACGCATCAGAACTGACACTTCAAGCAGCACAATCAAAACAACTGCCAACACACGCTGAGATTAACAGGATATATCTGAAATTAACATTAAATGATTATGTATAAGTGTAAGAAGTTAGTCTATGCATTTTTTTTTTACCTGCATTAAACACATTGTTGTCTTCCAGAGATCTCACCGCTGCCTCTACAGCATCAAGACTACTACCCCCTTTCTTTAGCACAGAAAAACCCTCACACGCTGCAGCTTTCACTCCACTGACGGAGGCGGAGGCCAGGTCATCAGGTATGGCCCATGCTCCACCGTGTACAACTAATACAGCTGGCATCGTCTGCATCAGAATAAAAAGAAAACATTTGATGAGATGGTGCTCCTTTTCTGTGATTTCACAATATATTGAGTAAATAGTCGTACTGCTTGAGCCTCTTCAACCTATGACTTGCAACTGACCGTCAGAGCCAAACAGTGAACTTTAAACCTCTCCTGATACACCTACAGTTTCTCTCAAGATTAATTTGTCTCCGCCCTCACCCCATGGAGAGATTTCGCCACTCCTTAGTTACAAGTCTATGCACGTGCACTAAACAGATTCCACACAGAAAATAAGCGAAGGAAGAACAACAAACTGAGAGAAAACCAACCTTTTTCACAGTCAAATCAGTCACCAAAAGGTAATTCTGTTTTTTAGCAGATTTGAATACCGCGCAATACGCAAACCACATAAGCAGAAAAACAGATTATTAAACCGTAAATGAACAGCCGCGTGGACTCATCTTACGCCATGATCACGTGATGGCGTGTTTAGTTAGGCGCAATTTTGCATATTAACCACCAGGGGGATGTAAAACCACATATTCTGAAAATACCAGCCATAATCGAAGAGTACAAGGACTGGTCAAGTTTTCTCTAGCAGCAGCAGCGAGCTCTTTAGGTCAGTTGCTTGTGAGATCTGAGGATATTGGAGTTTCTTTCTCATAATTGAACACATCGGCTCTATGAATGTTTTTATCTCGCTATCTATAGCCCACCTTTTAAATGAACAAAACAACTTCATATGTTCATAAAGTCTTAGTTAGTAGTCTGAGCAATAGGGGTATGCCATTTGGAAAGTGTTAAATCACTCTGTAGTGGGCTACTTTAAAACACAACAGGCGAACTGCCGCCTCTGTGATATTCCTCAGTCTTTGTGATTCTGAGCAGAGCCACAGTCTTCTAAAGGTCAAGTAGAGCGGGCGCTGGTCATTCACTATAGTCCTGTCAGCTCAAACTCATAATGAGTAACTCAAGCTCAGCGTGGTGTAATACAGATTAAAGACTAGTCCACTAGGCTCTTTAGGGCTGCATGCACTCAGGTTACAAGGGAATGATGTAGCTGCTTTCAGCTTTTATGTTTACACATAGCATATAGTCAGTAGTTTACAGACATGCTGATTGCACCATTGTTAAAATACATTGTTTTCTTGAGTAACCCCTTATGAAATGCCTGGCTGCAGAGAAAAATGAACACATTCCAGTTTATTTCCTTCTGGCTGCACTGAATGAGATCCTGCCCCAGACTTAACCTCCAGAGAAATCACGCTGTGTCAAGCGTAAACCTTTTCAGTACCACGGACAGCACCAGACAGAGAGCGCGTTTTCTATTTGTTCTCAGTGAGCCGTGGCAACGTTACAGTCACAGTGACTTGTATTAAGTGGATTAGCTATAGAATAATTTAGGATATTTTATGTTTATGAAGTTATTGACTAATGACATCTGAATTTGTTGTAGTAGTTTCATTCCGGTTGGGTGTAACCTCCCTGACCCCTGAACAGTATGACTGTAAACTTGTTGAACCTTTTTCATAAATATAATCTTATTAGAAAATGCTTTGTTTTCCCGGTGCCAGTCTTACAGTGGCCAATGGCTGTGCGAGGGGCGGGAAACTGCGCGCGCTGCAGACCAGTGCATGCCCACAGAGTGCGTGTTTGACGAGGAGCCGAGAGCACTGAGCGGCAATGGCAAAGACGGGCGCACACCCCTGAACCAGCTACAGCCCCAAACTGCACGATTAGTTTGGAAAGGACCTTACGCACAAAGAGACTTCGAAAGCGCGAGTCACTACCCCAAAGAAGAACTGCTGGTTTCCAACACGCGGTGCTGTTTCACCTGCTCTGCCGGTGAAAGCTGCTCTATGAGAAACATGCATCCAGAGAAATATTTACCTGAGCTGGTAGCGGAGAAAGACACACTGGACCCGTCCTTTGTGCACGCCGTGCGTCTGCTTTCAGAAGGTAAGACGTCTTTTATCCTCCCTAGGCGTGTGTTTGTCATCACTGTTTCCCGCAAAAAAGGAACACCGCGTGAGTATGCTACTGCATTGGAGACAAATGCAATATATTATGTCAAAGTGATAGTTAATACTAAGCCCATACGCTTTATATTTGAGAAGTACTTCCCAGAAAAGAACTTCCCGGAGAAGTAGCCTAAATGTTTTCTTTTCGTTCAACTCATTGTCCAAGTCTAATGAGGTCAAGTCACGTTGTCGTTGCGATTCACAGATCGCCTAACCCACTGCCCTCCAAGGTCAGCTGTAGTGTAACATCAGCAGCACCACAATAATTTATCTAAAATAGTCTACTATTTCTATAGGTTACCAGCTGGATTTGCACTGTGCTGTCCAGACAGAGAAAACAGTCATTAGCCTGCACACTGTTCCTGTCACCTGTTTGACTGAACACACTCACAGTATTCAGTGAGTGTGGCCAGTGCTGCCTGATCATCTAAAGATTTCCAGTAGCATGTAGCCTACTAAAGCTTGTATACTTGTAAGAAGCCCTGGTTTCTTATGTCGAAGCTAGGCAGACATATTTATTATTTATTTAATAAATTCAGTCAAATTAAGTAAATTTTGGGTGACTTTGGGTGTGCTGAATGGATTAAATGTATTTATACTGCTGCTCCAAAAATAATCACGTACAATGTTGTTTACCAGCCTTCCACAACTTTCTCTCTGTCATAAGTTAGTCTGACGTGAAGCTGAGAATGCTTTTTGTACCTCTGCCCCAAAGAGCTGATGAGATGCCAAACTGCAGAGATGAACCATGTTTATCTTACAAAGAGGCAACCATATACTCAGAGATATTTATTACTATTTAATGTAACATATGCATATGGATGAAGAAACAGTAACACAAAGAGGGAACTGAACCCACACCCTTCTGGCTGAGTTAGAGGAGCTATAAAAAGTCTGCTACAAAATGACTGCTCTTGTTTTCTTATATGTTGGCCAACACAATTAAAGTACACACAGTAAACTGTTAAATAAATAACTGTCTGGCAAAACCCCTGCTTCCAAGTTGATGACACAGTGTGCATCTCTAGACTGAGTTTTATTAATATCATGTGCCGACAGTGTCCCTTCACAGACACCCATGGGCGACTCTGGAATAATATCTATAATGTGTAGGCACTTGTACACTATTGTCTCCACTTTGTCATCCTCGTGGAGAATGCAGAGGCACATGTACGGACAGCAAGATAAAGTATGTTCACACACTTTAGGATTAACAGCTATTTATCATGGACGTAATTTACTACTCTTCATGTGCTTAATGTAAACACAATAGCTTTAGTAGCGTCTCAGGCACGTTTCTCATATGGTATTCATATTATGCTTCTGAAGTGTTTATTATTTAAAGCTGGAGAACACAGAGTGAATAATATTTCCAAGAGGATAGTGGACTTCCTGCTGCTTCCTCTTCTGTGTGCATGACTGTGACAATGTATAACATGCATGCATTAGATACTTCAAACATGCTTATGTAGACTATCAACCAAATGGATATTGAAGTTCACACAGTACGGTTTTATATTTAAAAATGCTACTACATAAGGATGTAACAATAACCGAAATATCGTGATATTGTATTGTCAGAGTTCTCACAATAATATCATGGACCATCACAATATATCAAATTACGAGTCTCTTTGCTTAAAATAAGAGTTATGGTGCAGGAATAGCTAAAAAAGACAGAGGGTTCTACATAGACCATGATCCTTTGCTCCATTTCAGTGTAGACTACAAGAAGAAATAACAGTTCTAAGCACTTTTAAATCTTAGTTCTTTGGATTAAATCTTGTCAAGGCATTTTAAGAGGAAAAAGTGGCATATTAAATTTTGTTAACCTCCACAAAATATTGCAATAAATACCATACCATGAGATATATATTGTAAAAATATTGTACTGAGAGATTTGGATATTGTTACATCCCTAATCGTGAGCCTCCCCACCATATCATTAGCTTTCCCACGATATTGCAATAAATATCGTACTGTGAGGTTCATACCGTATCATGAGACTTGGATATCGTTACACCCCTACTACTACATCGTTAAAACAGTTCTGAAATATTGTCCACATTAGGAATTCTATACAAAACTGAACACTTAAATCTGCCTGGAGAAAATGTCTGTCTGATAAAATCATATTGATAGTTAATAGTTAATTCATTGCTGTGACTATAATATATATCCATTGATGGATATTGTATCAAGAAGGATGCAGAGGTTGAACTATGTGACTTGTCCACCAGCTGCCATGTTACAGGTCAGATCTGTGGAGAGGTGAATTGTGACTGCGCTCATATTAAAGGCCTATATTACGCATTATAAGGTTGTTTCCTCATCAAAAACATATCTGGAGCTAAATGTTGTTTCATTCACACATGTTTAACACAAACCCTGCATAATTAGACTGAGTTCTTCTCTCAAACAGAAAGCACGCTGTTCCACCTTGTGATGTCATGTGGTAGTACAGGAAGTGCCCCACTGTGTTTTTAAACTCGTCTACACCTTCGTTAGAATCAATTGGATGATTTCATAAGTGGAATTGCTTATCTCTATTGAACAAAAAGTAAAAAGTAGGTGTTAATTTGACCAAAACTACCACTACATGACATCATAAGGTGGAACAGAGCATTTTGAGCTTTGGGGAAGTAGACCAAATAACAATAAATGATTACTCAAATGTGAATGAAACAAAACGTAACCCCAGGTATATGTTTGAGGTCGCAACATGGCTTAAATCTTACAAGAGTCAGTTTTGTGTAACATGGGAGCTTTAAGCATGTATGTTGTTCAAGGTTGAATTAATGTAAGATAGAACAGGACAGAGCATAATGAAAAATGTATAATTCTCAGCAGAAAAGTTACAAGACTTTTTAATGCATGATTTCCAGTGGTTTTCTGCATGAGACTAGCTTAGCGTAGAGCAGCTCCACCTCTCCATAATAAGCAGTGGGACTCCTATAAGAGACAGGAAAGGCAGAGGAAAGTAAAGGAGGCTCTTGATGGACGCACAGGCAGAGGAGCATTAGGCTGGATTGGCAAAGACCAGCTGTGATGCCGTTTATAGTCAGTCGCAAGCAAGACGGACATTTTGGCTCTGTTTCTGTACACAACGCACTGACTTTGTATTCAGAAAAGAGTTACAAAGTCATACGGCTCAAGTCAGCGTTTTTTCATCTGGATTTTGTCGGCACAGATGAAATGCAAACAAATGTGCTGGAGATTTGAATAATGTACGGCTGTCTGGATAAACTGAATAAAAGATGATTCTGAGATATGAGGGAGAAGAAACAGTGGGACTTGTCTAAATTATAGGGGATGGTATGTGAAGGTGCGCGGGCTCAAGGGGCTCTGTGAATTTGCAAGTTAAATCAGGTGGATGAGTGCGAGTTACAAGGCCTGTATTGCTTAATGTCTGTCAGAAGTGGACAACTAGTTTTTCATCCAAGCTTTTTGACCCATTGCTTAAAGAGAGGTTATGTAATTTTTCTGGTGGTGGAGACAACCAGGAGAAACCATAAAGTCAATTTACAGGTCAGATTGATCGTGTTTTTGAAAGTATTTCTGAGCAAAAAACGTTGAATAGCCATTGGAACATTCCAAACAAAGCAATAACATCTAACAACACCATTAGAAGTAGTACCAATAACAGGAAGTAGTAGAAATCAGCCAATAAATTTTTTTTTTTCATGGCTGATTATGATTTGCCAATCTGGTGCCACCTAGTGCCTCCACTCAATGTAATTTCTCTCCAGTGACTAGGTCAGGAATCTGAATACACTAGATAGGTTGCAAGAACCCCAGAAGTGTGAGTCCAGGCATCAGCCAATCAGCGAAGAGCCATACATTCTGTGTTGGCAATGATTCCCAAGATCGAGGATTTAAAGCCAGAACAAAGAGAATGTTTGGTGAATTTTATCAAGGGGAAAGATGTTATTACCCTTCTCCCTATGGGATTTGGGAAAAGCTTAGTATACCAGTTTGGCTGATGTAGCAGGCTAAATGATGATACCAATATGCCAATAAGCTCTGCCGTTATTTTTTGGGCTGATATGTAGAGCGATTTTGATAATTATCGCCAAATTATGTTGATTTAATTAATGACAGTCACCTACAGTCCACTTTTACCACAAACCTTCCTTTACCACAAGAGGCTTGTGGTAAAAACTGCTCACATTTTGAGCAGTTCTCTATTTGCTTTATAGTGTTCAAATAAAGTTTTATGTGTACTCTTGAAGCAGCAGGTAGGCCAAAATAAAATATCGGTCTGTGCTGGAGACTTAAGGCCAATAGCCAATTTACTAAAGAGTGCAAATATCTATATTTGCTGTTTATTTCTAATAAGTAGGCTACTGAAAAAAGTGTCAGTGCAAACACTAGTAGTACCACTGACAGGGGTGATGATTTACCAACTGCAGTAGTGTCACTTGTAGTAGTAGTAGCAGCAGTAGTGGTAATGTAGCACATTTCTGTAACTACTGTGCATTGGGTTTGTTACAATATTGGTAATATTTGGTCAACTAGATCAAATAGAGAAGTAAAAACAGCTATTTATTGTATACATAATACAGTACATTTGCTGCACAAAGTGGATCAGGCAACTCAACATAGTAAAAATGAAAGATATGGCCATTGCATACTGTCTATATATTCCCATGTTTATAAATTGTTGATCACATTTCAGAGAATCTATTTTGGCTGGGCCCACTTTGTATCCCGCAATGGCACAGCTTGTAGCAATAGATAAATATCTCCCCATGAGGTACAGGCTATCAAAAGGACACCAAAATTACACGGCCGCAAAATGAGAAGCTGCATTACCTTTTCAGCTCTTTACCCTGCATGCTCTTATCAGAGACGACTTACAATGAGAACACGGGTCGAATCAGATTACATTTCAAGGTCAATAGCGCTTTAAGAAACTGAAAAAAACATGCATTTGGA